ATCTGAAAGCGTCAAAGTTGGGAATATTCATCAAGTTCAAGGAGCTTGGCTTTGTTTGGACTTCAAGGCTTGTACATTTTATGCTCTCCTTCCAGCTGGACATCAAGAAGAAGTTTGAGCTCTGGACTCTTGCCGGACCAGAACCTTTGAGGTTTTCAATTCTAGAGTTTGAAAACCTCACAGGTCTGAACTGCGACTATATCCCGAATTTGAAAAATCCAAGGTGTGAGATTTCTCAGGAGATGACTGCTTTCTGGGAGAAGATGGGTGTTGATCCCCATGCTGGGCCAACCATTGAACAGTTAAGAACAGCATTTACCAAGTGTGACGGGTGGTCTCGGGATGATCGAATGCGGCTGGGATACCTTGCCATCTACGCAGGATACATTGAAGCCAGAAAGTTCTCTTCTCCTACACGGGCTAGTCTTGCAAGGCTAGTCATGGACTTGGAAAGATTTGAGAATTACCTATAGGGAAGAGTGGCGTTCAAGGTTCTAATGGATTCTTTGAAGGCAAAAGACTTGACGCAAACAGGTTATACCGTTGATGGGTTTGTACAGGTTCTCCAGGTGTGGACGTACGAAGCTATGCCAGAATTGGGTGCCAGTTATGGCTTTCCTGTGTCAAGCAGACCGTCTATACCGTTGCTTGCTTACAAGGGTGGCCTAGGACAACGCAGATGTTTCAAGGACGCCATCTGCAGACAGGTACTTAACTTCACTCCCGGACGTCCCGGACGACTTTCAGACGACTTAAAGTTAAAGTCGTCTGAAAGTCGTCCAGAAAAAGACTTCACAGATGACTTAAAGTTAAGTCATCTGAAAGTCGTCCAACAATCACTCCTGGACGACTTTCAGACACTTAAAGTTAAGTCGTCTGAGTCTAAGTCGTCTGAAAGTCGTCTAACAAAAAACTTATCAGACGACTTAAAGTTAAGTCGTCTGAAAGTCGTCCTACCAATTTTTTTTGTTAGACGACTTTCAGACGACTTAACTTTAAGTCGTCTGAGAAGTTTTTTGTTAGACGACTTTCAGACGACTTAACTTTAAGTCGTCCATCCCAATCCGTCAAATACCTAAGTTTATATGTTTTATTTACTGAAGAGAGACGTGAAAAACTTTGTTCGAAAGGACCTTGAAGACATGTTTCCAAAATGGGACGGAGACAGAGATGACCCTGCCGCGGTCAACATAATTAAAGCCATGTTTGTTCCTGGATGGAAGTGGACCATGGACTGCTGGCAAGTCACCGGTACTCAGAAGGTTGGTGTGAAGCTTGAGAGTGGTGTGAAGAAGGTTGGTGTGAAGCTTGAGAGTGGTGT